GAACCTCAAATTTCTCAAAGATGTCATAATGACCATGATGGAATGATAAATGACGGACCTTCTCAAATTGCACTTCAAGTTTCTTATTATCCTTCAACAAAACATCTAGGCTGGAGCATGTTCTTCCAGCAACAAATTGAGCTAAATCATGTATTAGATCATGCATTACATACTCTAATTCATTCCCACTAGACTGCTGAAAAAACGATTTTGAAAGTAACTCACGGAAATATTGATGCCCAATTTCTTCCAATCTATTTTGCTCTCCGGGTTGTTGCTGCAAGAGTCCCTCTGCCATCCACAACATAACTAACTCATCCTCCTTAAATGGGTAGTCCTTAGGAAACAAAGCACAACATGCAAAACATTGCTTCAAATAAGAAGGAAGATCATGGTAGCTCAGCATCAAGGGTGGCAAAATCCTGTTTTTGCCCACTTGCAAATTCAACATTTTATTGTTTAATATGTATCTCCAATCTTCAACTTCAGGCTTACCACATAAGAGACCCCCTAGGACTTTGGCAACCAATGGCAATCCGTTGCACCTTTTAACAATTTCTTCTCCAACTTCTTTCAAACTTGGATGTGCATCAAAGTTTTCTTCTCCTAAGGCATGCCGAGCTAAAATTGGCAAGCATTGTTCAAATTCTAATTCTTTTAGCTGGTGAATCTTGTCTTTCCCACCCATGATTACTGCAACACGCTCATTACGAGTTGTGACTATTATTTTGCTTCCAGCTAATCCTGATTTGAAAGGTTTTTGCAGGGTCTCCCATTCTTGGTGGACGTCATTCCAAACGTCATCCAAAACAAGGAGAAACTTCTTAGAAGATAATTTTTCCTTCAATTCTTCTTGAAGCAGATTAAGATCCTTCAAATCACGCTGGTCATTAGATACTGCCTCTAAAATTGTTCTTGTTATGCTCAAAATATCGAATTGATTGGACACACAAACCCAGACTTTAGGTTCAAAGCATCCCTCCTTCACCTCATTGTAAACAAGTCGAGCCAATGTTGTTTTTCCAACACCTCCCATTCCAACAACGGGAATTACAGAATATCCTTTATCACTCCCTTCATCATTGAACAACTGCCGAAGAACTTCTAATTTGTCACTCTCTCGACCAAAAACATGAGAATCAGACAGAGAAGTGGTGAGCCTTACTGCATCTCCTCTATTGGGCCGTTCTCCAACTTGCACTTTTAAACTCACTAGTCCTAGTGCAGTGGATGTGTCTACCATGCCTTTCAACCTGTTAGAAATATCCTTCACCTTAGAAATAATTTCGGAATCAAACTTGAAATCATTGCCTTTGAAACAAGAGAAGCATGTAGTTGGGATAAATTTGCTGCTGCTGGCTTGTTGAGGTTTTGCTATCAAGTTTCTCCTCTGAACATCAATATCAGCCTTTAATTCCTCAAAAATGTCCTCCATATCATAAGCCAAGTCCTTTAGATCATCAAGCCAGATCTTCACGATATTGTCAGAGAGTTCCTTCTCTTCTGCATCTCTGAGCAAACCACAGATTTGCGGTAGCAAGGTCCTCCAATTTTTCAAATCATCAAGGACCTCTTCCTGTAATCCCTGAGAATTGCTGGAAATGAAACCACCTAACTTCTGGAGCATCCAATCAAAAGCAGCTGACAAAAGAGGTTCAGCAACCACGGACAGGATGAGTTCCGCCATTGTGTTTGAACAACTAATTTGATCTGAAATGATGAAGCAAATATTTGAAATTATTATCGATGTCAATAGATCAAAACAAAGTAAATACCACTATTATTTTTTTAATGGGCGTAAATACTATTACTATAATAATATGCAAGTATTGAGGCTCATAATCTGGTTAAACTTTTAAATAGGTTTCGCTCCTTTACAAGAGCAAAATAATTGGGGGCATTTTGTCTGGTGGCTGACGATAATATTTTTTTTAGTAGGTCTCTCTAAAGATAGCTACCTCGCTAAGAAAACTAATAAAGGTGTAAGTATGTTAGAAATTTTTTTTATTAATAAAAGATCTAGCAATAGCTTTATAACTTTTTCGCACTTGGTCTTTCGTATAAAGTGGTTTTCGGGTTATCTTAAAAGTACAATCCCTTTCTTCCGATAGGTTTGAACTTTGAATCTCATCCTTGTCACTTTATTCAAAAAAAAAATAGCTTTATAACTTTTTCTTTTGTTAAAAAAAAAAGAAAAAAAGATTGTAGCTTTAGAAATTTTTGAGATGCAGAAATCTTGGGGCATTTTGTTACACGTCAGTGTTTTTTTTTTCACTGAACACATTTAGGTAGCAGATGGAGTTTAATAAAAAATTATTTATTTTTATTAATAATTTAAAAAATTATTTATT